TGGCCATATATGCTTGTGATCGCTGAACAAATCAATGAAGAAAGAATTATATCCCTAATCTCTCTCTCTGTTAAGCCTGCGGTTGAGGGGATAACCTCATCGGAGAAGGCGGCCGCGCGGCTACTGACTCGCGTAGCCGTGGTCCCGCCGATCGAGGGTTCAACGCCCTTGACAACCTGGTATCACGGTCACGTCGGTCCTCTCCCACGCGCTCCACCCATTCTTCCACAGCCGCCGCCCACCACCCTAGCCCTCCACCATCGCCGCAGTCCTCCACCGCTTCCGCGCCGCAGCCAGCAGCCATGAGCCATCCCACCATCGCCGATGTGATGGAGATGTTGAAATCCATCACCACGGAGATGACAACCATGAAGGCCGACATGGCGGCTATGAAGGAGAAGTCGGCCTCGTCGTCGGACAGCGGCGCCGGCGGCCGCCCGGAGGGGCCGCGCGATCTTGATCGCCCCCCAAAATTCCAAAAATTGGATTTTCCCCGCTACGACGGCAAGACTGATCCGATGCTCTTCATCAACAGGTGCGAATCCTATTTTCGCCAACAGTGCACCATGGCGGAGGAGCGCGTGTGGATGGCCTCGTACAATTTGGAGGACGTCGCGCAACTCTGGTACCTCCAACTCCAGGAGCACGAGGGCACACCGCCGTGGGGGCGATTCAAGGAGCTCCTGCACTTGCGGTTCGGGCCTCCCCTTCGTTCGGCTCCACTGTTCGAGCTTGCCGAGTGCCGGCGTACAGGGACCGTGGAGGAGTACTCCAATCGCTTCCAGGCCCTCCTGCCTCGCGCGGGTCGTCTTGATGAGGCTCAGCGCGTCCAGCTCTTCACCGGCGGACTCCTGCCGCCGCTCAGCCACGCCGTCCGCATCCACAACCCGGAGACGCTCGCGGCCGCCATGAGCCTGGCGCGCCAAGTGGAGTTGATGGAGATCGACCGCCCAGTGCAGCCTCCCCTCGGGGCGCCTGCTGCTTCCTCCTTCCCGCTCCGCGCCCGGCCGGCGCTTCCAGCGCCCAAAGACCGCCATTGGCGCTCCTCGCCCCTCCGGTGGCCGCCAAATAGGTCATGGCGAGGGCAACCAGAGGCGCCACACCCGGACGAGATGGCGGAACGGGCGCCGTCTCGGGTCTCTGTTTTAATTGCAATGAAAAATATACCCGTGGCGATAACAGGTTTTGCCGGCGCCTCTTCTTCCTTGAAGGCGTGGAGCTCGAAGATGCCGCGGACGCAGCTAGCGACGCGGAGAATGACGCCGAGGCGCCCTGTTTTTCCCTGCAGGCCGTGGCTGGGGTTCCCATGGCGGGCACCATGCATATCGCCGTGGCAATCGGCGCCGCGTTCCTCGTCGCCCTCCTCGACTCCGGCAGCACGCACAACTTCATCTCGGAGGAGGCGGCGCGGCGCTCCGGTCTACCCCTCCGCCAACGCCCCCGCCTCACAGCCTTGGTCGCCAATGGTGAGCGGGTCACCTGTGCCGGCGTCATCCGCGCGCGCGCCCCGCTCATCGATGGCGAAGTCGTTCCCGGCCGACCTCTACGTCATGCCATCGGCGCATACGCCGTCGTCCTCGGCACAGTGGTTTCGGCGAGTTGGGGCCCATTGTTTGGGACCTCTCGCCGGGCGCATGTCCTTCGGCGCTTGGCGCCCGTCTCTGGACCGGCGTGGCCAGCCCCCTGTCTGAGCCGCCGCCTGGGGCGCAACAACAGAGGCCTCTCCCCTCCTGGAGGCGCTGTTGCTCTCGTTTGGGGGGCTCTTCGCGGACCCCGTCGGTCTGCCCCCCAAGCGTGCGCACGACCACCGCATTATTCTCAAGCCCGACGCCCAACCGGTCGCCGTCCGCCCGTACCGGTACCCCGCGGCTCACAAGGGGCGAGTTGGAGCGGCGGTGTGCTGCCATGATTGATCAAGGAATCGTCGCCGCGCGGCGACTTCGCCGTTCTCGTCGCCCGTCCTCCTCGTTAAGAAGCCCGATGGTTCGTGGCGCTTCTGCGTCGACTACCGGGCGCTGAACGCTCTCACCGTCAAGGATGCTTTTCCGATCCGGTGGTCGACGAGCTACTCGGACGAGCTCCATGGCGCCAAGTTCTTTCACTAAGCTGGACCTCCGGTCCGGGTACCACCAGTGCGCATGCGCCCGAGGAGGGCGATGCACAAGACGGCGTTCCGCACCCACGACGGGCTGTGACGAGTTCTCGGTGATGGCGTTCGGGGTGTGTGGCGCCCGGCGACATTCGAGCCTTGATGAACGGCGTGCTCCGCCCGTTCTGCGCGCTTCGTCCGGTATTTTTGACGATATTCGATTTCTAAACAAGACGTGGGCTGATCATCTTCGCCACCTCCGGGCCGTCCTCGGCGAACTACGCCGCCACCAACTCTTCGTGAAGCGCACTAAGTCTTTTGGTGCCTCCTCCGCCGCCTACCTCGGCCATGTCATATCCGCGGTGGGTGTGGCCATGGATCCGCCAAGGTGCAAAGCGATCCATGATTGGCCGGCTCCACGTTCGCCCCAGTCAGGCGCGGTTTCTCGGCCTCGCCGGTACTACCGCAAGTTCGTCCACAACCACGGGCGATCATTTCGCCGCACCGCCGACGGCCCTACTCAAGAAGGAGGGTTTCTCCCGGGACGACGCGCGGCGGCGCGGCATTCCAGCGGCGCTCAAGGCCGCCGTCACGTCCGCCCCGTCCTCGCCATGCCCGACTTCGCCAAGTTGTTTCACCGTCGAAAGCGCGGGCGTCGACGTTCGCGGCGGCGCGGTCTGGTCGGGAGAGGGCCATCCGGTCGCCTTCTTCAAGAAGCTGGCGGCGCCGCCACCGCTTCGCTAAGCGCGCCTACGAGCGCGAGCTCATCGGCCTCGTCTAGGCGGTACGGCACTGGCGCCCGTATCTCTGGGGGCGGCGCTTCATCGTCAAGACCGACCACTACAGCCTGAAGTACCTCCTCGATCAGCGCCTCGCCACGATCCCTCAGCACCACTGGGTCGGCAAGCTCCTGGGCTTCGATTTCTCGGCGGAGTACCGGTCGGGCGCCACGAACGTCGTCGCTGATGCCCTCTCCTGTCGCGACAATGACGAAGGGGAGGTGATGGCTATTTCGGTGCCCCGCTTTGACTTCATCGAGCGCCTCCGCCACGCCCAGGCCACTGATCCGGCCCTGGTCGCCATCCACGATGAGGTCCGGGCTGGCACCCGCGCCGCTCCGTGGGCGCTGGTGGATGGCATGGTCGCCTTCGACGGCCGCCTGTACATTCCCCCGGCGTCGCCGCTGCTGCAGGAGATCTTGGCCGCGGTCCACAACGACGGCCATGAGGGCATCCACCGCACTCTCCACAAGCTCCGGTGGGATTTTCATTTTCCCACCATGCGTCGTTTGGTGCAGGATTTCGTGAAGGCTCGCGTCACTGTCGCCGATACAAGTCCGACCACCAGCCGTCCGGCAGGTGCTGCAGCCCATCGCCGGTTCCGTCCGCTGTGTGGGCTGACATCGGCATCGACTTCATCGAGGTGCTGCCCAAGGTGCAAGGCAAAACGGTCATCCTCTCCGTGGTGGATCGCTTGACAAGCATCGCCATTTCATCCCTTCGGCGCGCACCCTACACCGCCGAAGTCGGGCGCTCACGCCTTCTTCGCCGACATCGTTCGCCTCCATGGCGTTCCGCAGTCCATCGTCTCGGACCGCGATCCAGTGTTCACCTCGGCGTTCTAGCAGGAGCTCATGCGGCTCACTGGGACGAAGCTCTACATGTCGTCCGCCTTTCACCCGCAGACGGACGGCCAGACCGAGGCCGCCAACCGGGTCATCGTCATGTACTTGCGCCGCTTCACGGCGACCGCCCCGGCAGAAGGGCTCCGTTGGCGCCATGGGCGGAGTACACCTACAACACCGCTTATCAATATCGCTCCGCGAAACTCCGTTTCGGGTAGTCTATGGCGGGACCCCGACCATCCGCTCCTATGAGCTCCGGCGAGACCAGCGTCGCGCAATGTCGCCCAGAGATGGAGGAGCGCGCTGCCTTCTGGGCGACATCCGCTATCGCCTTTGAACAGCACGAGCTGTCCGAAGCGCGTCTACGAAAGCACCACAGGCGGTGTCCTTCCAGGTCGGCGATTGGGCTCTTCTTCGCCTTCGGCAGCGGGCAGCAGCATCCCTTCCACGCTCGGCAACAGGGAAGCTCAAGCCGCTATACGTTGGGCCGTACCAGGTGGCGGAGCTCATCAACGAGGTGGCTGTGCGGCTACAGCTTCCTCCCGGCGCTCGCCTTCATGATGTGTTCCACGTTGGCGTCCTCAAGAAGTTTGTCGGCACCCCGGCGGCCGTTCCACCCCTGCTGCCTCCGCTCCTCAGACGGTCTTTGTGGTGCTGCGTGACTGCCGGGTGACTCGAGCTCGGCTGGCCCGGGAGTGCGCCAGTGCTCGTTGAATGGCGTGGAGAACCACCCGCCGGCTACATGGGAGGATCTGGACGACCTCCGTGCTCGGTTCCTTTCCTTTCGGCTCGAGGACGATTTGGACTTCGAGGCGGGAGAGATGTCATGTGCGGGACGCTTTACATATATGCAAAGCATGACGCGCCCATGACGTCGCTTGGCTGGCTGAGCAGCGTTTAAGCAAGGCGCTGCATGGGTTAGCCTCTAGTGGCTAAAGATAGAAACTTAGATTAGTGAGTTGTTTTGGAAATTCCTAGAATCAGGGAGAGCCTTCCCCTTTTCGGTTGGGCCATTGGCCATATATGCTTGTGATCGCTGAACAAATCAATGAAGAAAAAATTATATCCCTAATCTCTCTCTCTCTGTTAAGCCTGCGGTTGAGGGGGATAACCTCACCGGAGAAGACGGCCGATGGCTACGAACTGCGTAGCCGCGGTCCGGCCAGTCAGGGGTTCAACGCCCTTGACACCATGCTTGTAACACATTAAGGTTGAGACCATATGTTGCTGCAAGCCCTGCGAGGCCTAAAGAAGGAGAAAACCAAAACATGGTCATTTCTATTAGAACTACAGAACTAGGTTGAAGCATTGAATGGTACTAGTAGTTTTGTTATGGGAAAACTTACTTGGGTCAATAGTATCATGAGGCAAGGAGACAAGGATGACCAGCATCACAAAGAATACCAGGTTGAAGAGGAAGTTGATACGGACACACAACCATTCAATCGTTGCTGCATTGTGGAAGGTGATGCGGGAGTAGTCGTCTATTAGTGTAAGGCTCTTTCTTAAAAAAAGTTCTCCCTGATTAAAGCATCTAATTGTTGCAGCCCCTGATATAGTCTCAGAAAAATGGTGGAGAATTGGAGCCTTTTTAATGCCAACCAACCTCGCTAGCTCTCTCGCTGAACTGATGTAATAGCTCTACATAAATTTACAAATTAGTGTATTACTCATTCTATATGCCTCAAATCCGCAAATGTCATCAATCATGAAGATTTACCTGATAACAAGTGGATATGGAAATTATTACTATGAATAAAAATAGTATGGGCCAAGCAATTTGGGACATAATGAAAATGATACTGAGGAGCTGAATTAGTGCAAATATCAGCCCTGCTAGCCTGTAAGGAATGTCTATGTCAACTGTGCTTTGATCTGTTGATGCCTGAAAAACAGAAAAGCTGAACTGTAAGGACTAACTGGAAGGAGAGTATTTGTTATGATATTACATCCAGGAGGTAGTATGCTGGTGCTCACCCTATTTAGGATTCGACTTGATGGAGTGGAATCAAAGAAATTAATTGGTGCTCGGAATATATTTTTTATCATGCCTAAGAAGAGTTGCTGTGCAGTTTCGATTGCAATTGCTGATAGGACGAAAGCTCTCCCCAATATAAATACTGAGCTTCCTGCTGACAACAGCACAAAAATACCAATCATCTTCTCTCTGCTTACTAGTTCTTTCCTCTCTGATGCCCATGCAATCCAGTAGTTGCTACATATCTGCAATGCCTGGAAAAGGACTTGGCATGCAAGAATTACGGTAATGAGGGCTCCCCTGTAGGCTGAGGTAACAAACTTTCGGTAGATACCCCATTTGACCCTTCCAGATTCACGCTCTTCCTCACTTTCCCTTCCTAGCACAGTGTGATCTGGCTCTATCTCTGTGAGCTCCATTTGCTTCTTCTTGTATTTGTTGGTGCCCAAGCCCTGAACTTTTGCAGGGTTGACCTGACTAAGGGACTTATTATGCGCATCCATTTGCTTTGAGAACTCACCATCTTTGTCTGCTACTCCCTCCATCCCAAATTGTAAGACGTTTGACTTTTTTGGCCACAAGTTTGACCACTCGTCTTATTTAAAAAATTTGTGCAAATATAGTCAAATTTAAGTCATTCTTGAAGAATTTTTATTAATAAACCAAACCACGACGAAAGAAGTGATATTTTACACAAATTTTTGAATAAGACGAGTGGTCAAACTTAGTGTCAAAAAAGTCAAACGTCTTACAATTTGGGATGGATTGAGTATTAAATTATCATACTTTCCGGATTGAACAATTCTTCCATCTTTCATGACCTATAAGTAACGAGTCATTAGCATAAATTAGAATTGCCCTTTTGTGTATATACATGTTCTTACTAATTGTAGATACGCGAACATGACTAGAAGAATTTTTAATTAAGAAATAAAGTGTATTGGGACTCCAGTATCTCTAAGGGAGGCTTCTTGCCCCCCTAAGCAATATATTCCTATATAATCCACCCACGAGGCTCGGCAATACAACCAACAATTCCACTCGATTCTATTCATTCTACAGTGACAATTCCTTTCTTCTTTCTAGAACCAAAAAAGACTTGCAACATACTTTTCATAACTAGGACTTCCTCTGAAATATGGTTTGCTATAAATTCTCTCAGGTCTAAGATAGCTGTCTTACCAAAACAAGATCCGCATCTCGCAGAAACTCTAGCTGGTGAGTTACATGTATGACTGTCTTTGAGGACATTTGACTCATTAAACATTCCTGCATATATATAGAACTGATATTATTAATTATTCAAGTTTATTGGCAAATAAAATATATTTGGAAGGTTATTTTTCGTTCTTCAAACCAGATATGTTTGATTCGAATCATCTAAAGAATCTGAATTGCAGTTAATGATGAGATTTCCATAATGGATGCAAGTTCTTAATTGCTTATTGATCCAAATACCTGATTTATATTATATATAAGTTAGGGAGTCCCTGCAGAGAGAATCTCTGTAAGCATAATTTATGTTTGGTTATGATTCTTGCTTTGCATGTTAGTGCTACAAAATTTCCTGCCTTGGGGCATGCAAATTTTCCATAAAGTACATGTGAATCTCATGAAAAAAGATACATTGTTGCAGATTACCCATTTGTACCTTGAAGAGGTGTGCTCCAGTGTGTGCGTCAACCGCACTGAAGGGATCATCCAAGAGGTAAACATCAGCATCACTGTACAATGCTCTGGAAAGCTGAATCCTCTGCTTCTGGCCACCACTTAGGTTCATGCCTCTTTCCCCTACCACAGTCATATCTCCATTAGCCCATAGTTCTACATCTTTATTCAAAGCACACCCTTGTAGCACCTCATCATATCGGGCCTTGTCCATGGCCTTCCCAAAAAGCACATTGTCCTGAATTGTCCCGGTTTGAATCCATGCACTCTGTGGCACATATGCCCTTGACCCAACAACCATTGTTTTTGCACCGCTGACCCTTGGAATCTCACCCATGATGGCACAAAGGAGACTTGATTTTCCTGAGCCAACTGGCCCACACACAGCAACTTTATGACCCTTCATGATGTCCACCTTTCTATCAATCTTCAGTGTGAACTTTGTATTCTTCAAGTTGTTATCAGTGGCTTCCCAACTGTATTCTCCTGCTCCAAGCTCCACAATGCCAGCCACAGACTGCTTCTCTGTGCTACTTCTACTGCCATAGCTACTTGGATTTGTGTGGTAGTCTTCTTTGATGAACTCTTCGATTCTATCTAGGGACACCTTGGTTTGTGTGACCATTGACACTAACTCTGGGAGGTTGTAGATTGGATCTTGGAGGATTCTGAAAGTAGCAAGGGCTGATAGTACAGTTCCTGCCGACAATGGAACGTCTACAAGAATGCAAATTCCAAAGGTGACAACTGAGACCAACGTTGGTGATGCCCAGAAGAGGAAGGTTATTGCCGAGCATGTGTACAGATACCTTCTGAGCAACCCTCTCTCCACATCCCTGAGCTTCAAAAGCTTGTCCAAGTAGGCTGTCTCCCATGCATGCAGTTTCAAAATCCTCATGCTTTTAAGAGCCTCTGCTGTGGCCTTGATGCATGAGTCCTTCGCCTCCATGATCTTCATGTTGAGATTCTTCTGTGACTTTGCCAGGGGTGTGTTGCTCACCATGATCAACACTGTTGCAAAAACAGCAGATAGCGATGCCGCCATCCCAAGACTATGGTACAGGATGACAAGTGCCAGTGAGACTTGCAAGGGCAGCAACCAAATTCCATGGATGTACCAGAAAAAACTCACCAATCTTCTCTACATCGACATCAAGGAAGTTCACAATTCTTCCTGTCCCCGCAATTGAGTCCTTTATCAACAGGGATTTCTTGTAGATGGACACCATCAGTGCTGCACGCACCTGAAATCCAATTCTACAAGCGCCAAAGTACCACTGCCGCTGTGACAGTGACTCTACTGTCTTTGATACAAAGAAGAGGCTTGCAAGCATGTATCCATGTCCATGGCCTCTGTCAGGGTTCTTGTCGGAGAGCAGCTTCACTAAGTAAGTGATCAAGAATGGTCCCATATAAGAAGCTAAAGTGTTAAGCCCTGGTAATTAAAACCATGTATTGTATTAGTATACTATGGGGAGAAAAGAACAGCTCTATTTCTGATAAATTTCATGGTAACAGTTACCTGCAAAGACTGCATTGATGACCAAAGGTGTCCAAACAGCACAAATGATGCCTTTTTGTAGTGACATCGGCTCTGGGTTTTGCTTATGCATTGTTTCTTGAAGCAATGCATACGACTGGTCTGCCCTCTCTGACTGAGGAACAGCTGGGATGTGTTCAATCTCGAGCCGTACCTGGTGTCCCTTCTCAAAGACCGGGTTCAACCACTGGAATGTAAGCTGACTCCACCACCTGGAACTGGAAAACCTATCCCTGCTGCTATGGCCACTGTCTTCCCTCGTGAGCAATGGTTGGTTCAGTTCATCTTGGTTTGCTACAGAGGTTCTCATGGCTATCGCAACTAGACACAGACATATGACGGCGCAGAAGGGCAGCGAAGTGAAATTGACAACAGTTGCAGAGTTGATTAGGTGGAGCAAATGCAATGAAGTGAGGAGTGATTCTAACAGGGAGCTGAAGACCCACCAATAAACAAGAACTGCAGGCCAGTTTGATCCAAGTCCTGCTCCTTTGTGTTTGCAGTAGACTGAGAAGAGAGTCACCAAAATCCATGACAGTGAGGCGAAGATGAAGCCCAAGGAGATGGTTTGGTGCTTCCAAACTCCAAGAACAGCAAAGCCAATATGTATTGACGTGATTGAGGCATTGCAGACTGAAATTATGTGTGATGGGAGTAGGGTCACCCCCTTCCTTTCTGCTGAAATCACGACACCACTTCCTGCCTCATGTTGTCCCTTCTTCAGTTTGAGAAACTCTCCAATGACCCAAAGCAGCAAAACAGCAAATGCTGATAGGCGCACATAATCCAATGCTAGTAATATCTCCATCGGATGCTAAAATCAACAGAATGTGGCAGAGAGCAGTACAACACGTAGATGGAAAGAGTTGCCCTGTTACATTGAAGCAAGACTGAGTCAGAAACTGAGACAAAAGTAAGCAAAGAGAACCCAAGAGGCCAGGAGTAGAAAGGCAAGAAGAGACCAAAATGAGAGCCTGGCAGCACATGGCTGACCAAAAAGTAAGCGATGCAGCTTGTTACTTTCGACCTAATCAAAAGGAGGTCTGCAACCAAAAAGAGCTGATCGGCAAAACGTTAGTGTTGGAACCAAGAATCTTGATTGTATTTGGTAATTGTCAGCTATACACTTTTGGCATAACCACCAAACACGTCTGTAACTGCACGTCTGCAGCATCCAAAAACATTCACTGGATCTGGCACTCATGCAGATGAACCTGGCTCCACTTTCAGATCTACTTCTTCGTCTTATCATATGACGTTAAATAAATTCACGACATACGCAACTACAAAAGTATCACAATGCATTGATGCCTTTAACCATCTGAAAAACCTGTTCTTTTCTTTTCTTTTTCTTTTTTTTTTGGCATGAAATGATCAAACAAGTGAACATATTGTGGGAAATCAAGATGCAGTAGCACCCATGTCTATCTCTGCGACCTTCATTCACGGTCACTAATCACACTACATATTCTGAGATGCATATCGCAAGCGGAACATTCGAGCTTGCCACAGAGATGAGGTTTTGCTAGGGACTCCATGTCTGATCAACAAGAACTCTGCAGTGACCGCCTGACCGGCCACCGGTGGCAGCGCATGATGCTGCCAACCATTCATGTGTGCAGTACCGGAGTTCCTTGGGCATGGCCACATGATTCCTTTTTTTTTTTTTTTGCCACTTCTTGAAACTACCACATCACAGTAACGTTCATATCATGCATGTGGTACATGAGTTTGTTGGCCTTTGTGTATAGTCGGTATTGCAAGGTGAAATTTAACGTATCTCTGCAGTCACTTGTATAAGCTCGAGATAGGTTCATTGCATGCAGTTCGTAAAACTGAACGATAGTCCTCCACCCCCGTCTTTCTAACTGCAGGCTGTTTGGCGAGTTATTTGTGTAGTTTTTAGACCTCCACCTCTCGCAAAGTTTATTAGCAGGTTTGCGGCCGGCCACTGAGCTACAGACCATGCGGCGTTCCGCGGACAAAAGCTTGGCTGCATAACCCAGAAGGCCCGCAAGACCTCTCTTCAAATACGTTCTGCATTCTCAAATGTTTAATGCCCTGGCCTTGGCCTTGCCTGAATCTGAATGAATGGCTCTGGCAACAGTGGCATGAGCATTGCCGTCAAAAAAACAGTGGCATGAGCATCCGGTGTTCAGGGGACAATTTCTGCGAATCATCAACCAACACTGTTGACGACCCACTGCTAGAGCTAGGCGGCATCGTATAACTTGTTTTATACTACCGTGAAACTTTGAGTTACACAGATAATTTGCCTCCTTGATTACTGTAACGATGAGTACAGTTACTGCTATTAGTACTTTTTTTGAGAGGTGCTCTCCGCGCTTAACAATTAATCAAATCATAATTGGGCCTCGATCAGAATGAACACAGCACGTAAACACCAACCTGTAGCTAGCTAGATCAGGAACTCTGAAAACCATAATGCTGATTGGCATGTCAAGAGCTCAAATGAAACAAAAAACTTAAAACTATAAATTTGTAGATCTCATCAAGAACTACAAGTTTTATATAAAAGGTATCTTCATTTAGCACTCTAAAAAAAAGATAAGGCGATGGGAGGTTGTACGTGATTAATATGTTGTTAAAACTTTATATTATTTTTTAATATTTTAATGACTTTAAATGAAAAAACTCAAAACTATAAAGTTGTAGATCCCATCGAGAGCTACAACTTTCATATATAAAGTATCTCCATTTGACACCATACAAGAAAGATATGATTTTTTGCAAGGCGACGAGCGCTTGTACACGATTAATATACTGCTGAAAATTTGTTTAATTTTTTAAGCATCTTAACTATCTCAAATTTAAAAACTCAAAACTAGAAAGTTGTATATCTCGTCGAGAGCTACAATTTTCATATAAACACCATCTTCATTCAAAATCTAGTTTTGAGTTTATATGAAAAAGATAAGATTTTTCTAAGGTCGCGCTTGCCGCGCCAGTATGATGGTAGCAGTGCTACAGTGCTGCTGCGCCAACGGGAGTGGCGCAACAAGCTTTTTCAGCTGACTGTATTAATTTTAAAAATTGTTTTAAAAAAAGGTTAAAAATAAAAAAAATCGATCGCATGTGTGGTGCACGCTGATTGGATCAGTGGTTTTTTCTTCTTTTTTGGAAACTACATGCATGCAAAAATATCAGCCGGATCAATTTTAAAATATCAGCCTGATTTCTTCCAAAATATCATAGGTACCTAACAATCAGCCGGCCTTTAATCTATTCTAATAATTTAATTGTTATAAATATTTCTCTTTCCAAAAAAAAAAAATCAATGGCTCAGATTTGTCGAATGATTTTACCTCCTAGGGAGTACTAGATGTACCGTAACAAAGCCTATAACTCATTTTTTTTCATTATCTTCAGTAAAGATCGATTAGTCGGCAATACATATAGCAGCAGCCCTTCCTAATACTTAGCTTGTCCTGTCTTGATCAGCTAACAAAATACAATACATCCAGCTAACATCCCCAGTAGATACGGGCTTTGTCATATAATCCTCAACACCAACGCCAGCATCAAAACCAAATCAAGACTCTTCGTAAGGGCGCAAGATAATAACTCAATTTTTTCATTATCTTTAGTAAAGATCGATTAGTCAGTAATACATATAGCAAAGCAATACGTAATAAAAGCCCTGCTCGCTTGAACTTATCAGCCGTACCATTTCAACGATATAACAGTGTCTTCTCTCACAACAAATTAATATTAACATCAGCCGTTTTTCCAGCCAGCCGAACTGGACCAAAGTTGAGATGTAGGCTTCACAATTATATGCACTCCGCACAGCCGCGTTGCCGCCGCGCTTTGTTTTCTAGTATAATCTAAAAACTGTCTCCGCAGCTTTTCGTATACTAGCAGAAACGTACAAAAGACAAGAGTTTTTATTTTCATCAGACGAGCATCCAAACTTCCATTCAAAAGTATAAGCTCACCTGGATTGGAATATGCCAAGTGGCATTTCACAACGCACTTTCCAGCACCATGACACCCAACTGAACAGAACCAAATACTGCGACATGATGAAACAGGCACAACAGGTCATCATCAGGCAAATATATAAATTGCAATTGCACTGACGTACAGCATGTTCGCTTGTTGGTTTCAGCCAGCCCAAATCAACCAGCCAACAATGTTTTCCTCTAAAAAAACCAGCACCAGCCAGCCCAAACCAGCATCAGCACCAACCAGCGAACAGGCCCGTATCTGAAGACCAGGTCTCCTGGTTGCTCGCAAGATTCTCCGACTTGACCCCCTTAAAAATCAAAGGTGCCAATTCATCAGCTGAAATAAATAAATAAATAAAATAATCGGTTGAACTAGTACAGTACAGCAAATCAAAGTCTCGAGGCTCCACACGGCCAAATGGCCAAATGTGACAAATCAACAAGAAAGGCTCAAGACTGTTTTCACCATCCTGTGAGCTGGAAGGCTTTGTTTTCTAGTATAATAAGCTTTTGCATTTTGATGATTAAAGTAGTACTGCAATACAAAGAAATCTATAGCTTACGTTTTGTTATTAAAATGAAACACATATGGATTTGCCTTCGGGAAGTTGAAACCATTTTTCCTAGTCCTAGGAAGAAAAGGGGTAAACTTCTGAAGTTCAATTTCACCCTAGAATTTCCAAATACCAAATAGCAAAAGGTAGTTAATAACTGAATATACCTTCAAACCGTTGCTTCTGACCAAGTCTATGCCGTGTGGCTGGATACAATACCATATTAGAATTAGAACAATATAAGCCGAGAAAGAAAGCCCAAAGTCTGTTCATTATAAATATGAGCATAGCTCAGTAAGAAAAGGAGAACCATATCACCAGAAAACAGAAGAAATACAGAGAATATGGCTGGAGTGTTACCATGGCTAATCTTTGCAGCCACCCTGCTGCTAGCAGCCATCAAGAGCAGCACAGCGTTCATCATGGTTGCAAAGCCTGGGTGCAGAGAGACATGCGGCAGCCTCACAACTCCTTACCCCTTCGGTATTGATCCAGGTTGCTACCACCATCAAGGGTTCGATGTTTCATGTGAGGATAACCACACTTTCATGCATAACTCGAGCAGCCTGATGGAGATCTACAGCATCAACCTGCTCGGAGGGCAGGTTCGAGTCAGCACCTTGATTGCCTCCAGTTGCTATTACAGAAATGGAAGCTTCATGTATGGATCTTATTAGGATATGTATATATCAGGATCATTAGAGAGATCCCCTAGATAGACTAGTTACTATGTATAGTCTAGCTTCCTGTTTTTGTACCTTCCATGTGTGCCTAATTGACGATATATATGAAAGGCTCCCCACCCACATTGGGTGTGTGGTGATTTTCTCCTTTCTACATGGTATCAGAGAATTATAGTTTTTTTTTCTCCCTCCCTCCCGCACCTGTCCTCTCCCACCAGCGGCTCTCTCCCCTAGGCCAACCATGTCGGCCTCCTCTGCCACTAGTGCATCCCACTCCTCTGGAACCCTAGCGGCTGCGAACTCCCTCTCCGCCCCCACCATCCTCGTCGCCCCCTACGCGACGATCTCCGTCAAATCCCACGTCCCGGTGACCTTGGAGCTGAAGCACCCAAACTTCAACCAGTGGTCGCCGTTCTTCACCTCCCTCTGTGGGAAATTCGGCCTCCTCCCGCACATCGACGGCACAACGGCGGCCAGACCCACTGACCCTGCCTGGGCCATTGCGGACTCCTGTGTTCGCAGCTGGCTCCTCGGCACTGTTGGGACCAACGTCCTCGGCCTTGCTGCGGCACCGGACCAGACCGCGCGCGAGCTATGGGTCGCCATCAAGCGCCTCTTCGAGGCCAACAAGGCCCCGCACGCCATCTTCCTGAGTCACCAGTTCCACTCCATGACCCAGGGCGACTCCTCCATCGACGAGTACTGCCAGCAGATGAAGGCCACCGCCGATGCGCTCCGCGACGTCGGCCGTACCATCACCGACTCGGAGCTTGTCCTCAATCTCTTGCGCGGCCTCAATCCTCGCTTCGCCAGCACTGCTGACAACATCGCCGACTCGCACCCGCTGCTAGACTTCGCCACCACTTGCGAGAAGCTCGTCCTCAAGGAGCTTCGTCTTGCCAACGAGGGCACTGTCGCCGCCCAAATGGCGTTCCACACCACGTGCGGTCTAGCCTGCCGCTCGACCTCCGGCACCACGGGTAGCGGCTCCTCTGCCAGTCGCCAGGGAGGCCACGACGGCGGCGGTAGTCGCTACAGGAAGAAGGGATGGGGCGGCCACGGCGGCAGCGGCGGCTTCCAGTCCGGGGGCGGGCCGCGGGCTCCCACACCACCAGCCGGCCCTGGTACTGCTACGCCCCCTAGACGGGCGGGCCGCAGCAGCAGCAGTGGCGCACACCGGCGGTGAACCCGGCTTGGCGTGGCCCCGGCGTCCTCGGCGCCTACCCTCAGGCCCACACCGCCTTCGTCCCCGCCCAACTCTCCGACAGTCCGACCTCTCCTCCTCCGCAGCAGAACGGCAACTGGGATCAGGCCAGCCTCATTGCTGCCTTGAACCAGATGTCCCTCCAGGGGTCCAACCCCTGGGTCCTCGACACCGGTGCCACAACTCACATGTCGCCCTCGGACGATATACTTCTGTCCCGTGTTCCCCCTCCTACCTCTGGCATCACAGTTGGCAACGACAGCACCATTCCTATCACATGCCATGGCACCACCACATTGTCTTCTCCCGAGTCCACTTTTCACCTCACTAACATTCTGGTTGCCCCGGCTCTCGTGCGCAATCTTCTTTCCGTTCATCAATTCACCTGTGACAATGATTGTTCTATTGAATTTGACGCTTTCGGTTTTTCTGTCAAGGACCAACAGACGGGGCGCGTGACTCTTCGCGGCAATAGTGGTGGCGACCTCTACACCTTCCCTTCCAAGCCAGCGCACCACTACAGCCTCGCCACCACCTCGTCGCTATGGCATCACCGCCTCGGTCACCCCGGTCCTTCCAGCCTCGCCACTCTACAGAGCATGTCGGTCATCTCGTGTCATAAGAGCCCACCATCCATATGTCATGCATGTCAACTTGGCAAGCACATGCGGCTCCCATTTAGTCATTCTACCTCTGTGACACTGCTCCTTTTGATTTAGTTCATTGTGATGTGTGGACGTCCCCGGTCCTTAGCACCTCTAGCTTTAAATATTATCTTGTTCTACTGGATGATTTTTCCCATTACTGCTGGTCGTTTCCGCTTCGTCACAAATCCGAGGTGCACCGCCACATAGTCGAGTTTATTGCCTACGCTCAAACACAATTTGGCGCCACCCCCAAATCATTCCAAGCTGATAATGGGACCGAGTTCGTTAACCATGCTACCACCTCCTTCCTCGCTAGCTATGGCATTACGCTCCACCTCTCGTGTCCTTATACCTCTCCTCAAAATGGCAAGGCTGAACGCATGCTTCGCACCACAAACAACACCATCCGCACCATGCTCCTTCATGCGTCCATGCCACCTCCCTACTAGGCTGAGGCCCTTGCCACTACCACTTTCCTCCTCAATAGGCGACCCTCCTCCTCCATCCAAAATCATATACCCTATCAGCTTCTTCACAAAAACCTCCCAGACTATTCCTTGCTTAGAGTTTTCGGATGCCTCTGCTATCCAAACCTCGCTGCCACCTCCCCCCCCACAAACTAGCCCCTCGTTCAGCGCCCTGTGTCTTCCTAGGATACCCGTCCTCTCACAAGGGATATCGCTGCCTCGACATGTCCACTCGGCGCATCATCATCTCTCGCCATGTTATTTTTGATGAGTTGGTGTTCCCATTCTCGGCAGCACCATCGGCAGGCTCCATGTCGTCTTCACTTGACTTCCTGATGCAGGGACTATCTTCCTCGACAACCCCTGCGACCACCGCTTCGCTGCTCGTTGGCCCCACGGCCTCCACCTCCAGCGTGGACGAGTCCCCGGAGCTCCTGGACCCGGCTATCCTCCAGCTGGCCCCCTTGGCTACCCCTGCGGGCGGGAACCCCCCAGCTGCTCATCCTTCAGGCGGGTCCCTACTGGGCGGCCAGCGCTTTGGCGCTGTCTACACTCGCCGTGCCCGGCCTACTACAGCGCCGACCGACCAGGCAGCGGCTCCTGTGGCCACGGCCGTGGCCCCTGCTGCACCTCCAGCAGCACCGGTGGCCCCTGCTGCACCTCCAGCAGCACCGGTGCCCCCTGCTGCGCCTCCCACAGCACCAGCAGCTGGCCCTAGAGTAGCGGCCTCAGCTCCTCGGGCTACCTCGTGGCCTGTGATGCGCTCACAGACCGGAAGCCTCCGCACCGTTGAGCGCTTCGGATTCTCTGCCTCCGCTGCCTCGCCCCTCCCGGCGAACTATCGGAGCGCGCTCGCTGATCCTAATTGGCGCGCTGCGATGGTGGAAGAGCACAAGGCGCTGATCGACAATGGCACTTGGCGCCTCGTCCTTCGCCCGCCTGGTGCGAACATCGTCACTGGAAAGTGGTTGTTCAAGCACAAGTTTCACTCCGACGGCTCCCTCGCCCGGCACAAGGCGTGCTGGGTCATCCGCAGCTTCTCCCAGCAGACCGACGTCGACTACAACGAGACATTCAGTCCGGTGGTCAGCCGGCCATGATCCGCACTGTCCTCAGCATTGCTGTGTCCTAGGAGTGGCCCATCCGCCAGCTCGACGTGAAGAACGCCTTCCTCCACGGTCACCTCGAGGAGACGGTCTACTGCGAGTAGCCGTCCGGCTTCGTCGACCCCGCTGCCCCTGACTCTGTATGCTTGTTGCAGAAGTCCTTGTATGGACTCAAACAGGCGCCGCGAGCTTGGAACTAGCGCTTCGCCACGTTCATCTGCAACATCGGCTTCACCGCCTCCAAGTCAGATGCCTCCCTGTTCATCTACAAGGTTGGCGACTAGCTGACCTACCTCCTCCTCTACGTCGAGACATCATAGTCACTGTGTCGTCTCCGGCCCTTCTACAACATGTCATTGCGCGCCTCCGCTCGGAGTTCGCCATGACGGACCTCGGCGACCTGCACCACTTCCTCGGCATCTCAGTAACCCGGGACAGTAGCGACCTGTTCCTCTCCCAGCGGCAGTACGTTGTGGATCTTCTCCAGCGTGCTGGCATGTCTGAGTGCCACCCGACAGCTACTCCTATGGATGCCCGGACCAAGCTGTCTGCCACAGAGGGCGCCCTGGTCGCCGATCCCTCGGAGTACAAGAGCCTTGCTGGTGCGCTCCAGTACCTCACCCTGACGAGGCCGGACGTGGCCTATGCAGTCCAGCAGATCTGCCTCTTCATGCATGACCCCGCGAGCCGCACCTTGCGCTCATCAAGCACATCCTGCGGTACGTCAAGGGATCCTTGTCGTCCGGCCTGCACTTAGGCCCTGGCGCCATCGACCAGCTCACTGCCTACTCCGACGCTGACTGGGCCGGCTGCCCGGACACGCGCCACTCCACCTCCGGTTTCTGCGTCTACCTCGGCGACAACCTGGTGTCTTGGTCCTCCAAGCGCCAGACGACGGTGTCTCGCTCCAGTGCCGAAGCAGAGTACCGTGCAGTAGCCCACGTTGTGGCCGAGTGCTACTGGCTACGCCAGCTGCTCCAGGAACTCCACATCTCGATCCCGCTTGCGACGGTTGTCTACTGCGACAATGTGAGCACCGTCTACATGACTGCCAACCCCGTCCACCACCGCCACACGAAACACATCGAGATCGACATCCACTTCGTCCGCGAGAAGGTCGCTCTGGGCCAGTTCCGAGTTCTTCATGTCCCCTCCGCGTACCAATTCACAGACATCATGACCAAAGGTCTACCCGTCCAGCTCTTCACTGATTTCCGGACCAGCCTGTGCGTCCGTGATTCTCCCGCTGCGACTGCGGGCGGGTATTAGGATATGTATATATCAGGATCATTAGAGAGATCCCCTAGATATGCTAGTTACTATGTATAGCCTAGCTTCCTATATTTGTACCTTCCATGTGTGCCTAATTGGCGATATATATGAAAGGCTCCCACCCATATTGGGTGTGTGGTGATTTTCTCCTTTCTACGTATCTGCCTCAACAAATACTGCTGACATGTTTACAGTATCCAGCAAGGCAAATAAGTTAACAGCTATCGGATGCAACACCCTAGCATTCCTTGTGGGCTACAACGAGCACAGGGCTGGAGCTGGGTGCTTCTCAATGTGCCAGGACGACCAAAGTGTGGATCAGAGCGGCCAGTGCTCTGGCATGGGCTGTTGCCAAACATCCATTGCACCAACCTCACTACCTTCAGAACAATCTTTGATGGAAGGTTAACAACTCTGAGGTGCGTGACTTCAACCCATGCAGCTATGCCTTTGTTGCTGAGCAGGACTGGTTCAGATTTGAGCCTTCATATCTCGAGGATAGGAAGTTAACAGACAAGTTCATGCATGGAGTTCCTGCTGTGCTTGACTGGGTTGCTGGAAGTGAACCATGCGAAGAAGCAGTTAAGAATACATCATCATATGCCTGCATTAGCAAGAACAGCCAGTGCATGAAGTCACCAAATGCTACAGGCTACCTCTGTAGCTGCCTCGACGGATTTGCAGGCAACCCGTACCTGTCAGATGGGTGCCAAGGTCAGCAGCTCTCTGGAATTCACTTTCTTCTTTCAAGTTTACCTCCAGTTACCTGTTCATTGATATTTAGTTTTCCTATACTCTTGTATTGTATGACGCTTGCAGATATCAATGAGTGCCAAAGTCCAGATCAGTATCCATGCCATGGAATCTGCAGTAACACGATGGGGGATTGCAGTTGTTCTTGTGTATCCGGCACACACAGCATAGATCCAAAGAGAGAAACATGCAGTCCAGATGCAAGTTCAGAGAGGGCTGAATTAACTAAAATGTTTATAGGTAATTTTCCTACACTCCAAAATAAGAATAGCATGGATAATAACTTGCACTGATGTAGAACATATATCAAGGAATTACTAACATGGCCTTGAATAAATTCCAAAATCTTCATAGAAGTTAATGACTCTTTCGGTGGTTTCCCATAGGCAATAGCTAGCAACCAAAGCCAAATTGGTTGACATACTGTATGATATGGTGTGCAGAGGATATACTGTACAAATTGGTTGAAACAGCATGGTTTTTGGAAAATTCCTAGAGCGGCATAGCTTACTATCTTAAGTTCTTAACCTTACAGCAACACAACTAAATCTAGCAATCTTTACCTCTGTAATAAAATTGAGTACAAAAGATGGCACAAGAGAGATCCACCTGAGAAAACTTAGTCAACAAATAATGAAATCAATGGATTATTTCATATGATTTGCATTGTTTTTCTAGTTTTTCCCCCACAACTTGAAGTTTCATTCTTATTAATTTTAAAATTTGAATATGTTTTGAATTGTGGGAACATCATAGAGTGATCCTGAGGGTTTAATAGGCAAAACTTGGGGAATAAAGCAGAGAAGATGCATACTTATAACTTGTGTTGTTCAATGTCATCCTTCACCCTCCGGGCCACTTGCTCGTTTTGAAAGTTGTTTTCGAATATACGTCAGTAATATACGTCGGTTTCGCTCTTTCCATATGTTCCACATGATATAGATGGCCATACCATTGAACTTGTGCCCCTGAGCTTTTGAGAATCCTCTCGCTGTTTCCTCCCACCAAGAAATGATGGTTATGCATGTATACCCTAAGGAATGAAATGACACTAATATCAGCTATCTTTTATCCCCCTAAGGAATGGGTATTTTTCCTCACAAAAAGTATTGTTTTCATAACTGAAACTAAAAGGAAGGAAATGTTGTGGACGCTTTCATTGGAAAGCACTATATACTAGGAAGAAGAAGAAGGCGCCAGCTGCCTCTAGTGGCTAGAATTAGTCCAAGCTAGCTAATAATAGAACATGCAGGAATAATAGTAATACCACAACCGCTCATGTGGGTGTTATAACCGCAGGTGCGGCTGGGGATGAGGATCAAGCAGAGAAGAAGAGTCGTCACGTTTAGAGCCTCCTAGGGAGGGTGAACTAGCTCTTCTGCTGCTGCCATTGCTAGGATCAGCTACTGTAATTTCCCCTCCAGTTCATCAATCAAGTGCCCAATTCTCGGTTCCTAGCATCTGGTAACAAAGACCTCACAATCCACTCGCCTGCCATGGGTGATGATATCAAGTCCGCTCTGGATGCCATCCTCAACAAACTCTCCTCCGTCGAGAACGACATGACGACGATGAAGGGCGATTAGAGCCGCCTCACCATCGCCATCAACCGGCTGTAGCCAGACCACCTCTCTCCTCCGGCGGCTCCCACAGTGGCAAGGACGCTGCCCACAGTGCCCCTCCACCTCCGACCCACGCGAGCACGGCAAGCACAAACTCCGGTTACCGCGCTACGATGGCACCGCCGATCCGGTCACCTAGCTTCACAAGGCAGAGCAGTTCTTCCACGCCGATCGCACGGCGGACGACGAGCGGGTGTGGCTCGCCTCTTTCTACATGGAAGGCGCTGCCCAGGATTGGTACTACCGCCTGGAGCAGAACCATGGTGCTCCCACATGGCCGGAATTCGTCGACAAGGTGCAACGGGCGTTTGGGACGTCGGCGCGCAGCAATCCGCTCGGCACCCTCATTAAGCTCCGCCGCATCAGGACGGTCGAGGAGTACAAGGCGCAGTTCCTGCCCATGCTCGCACACTGCCGCCCACTCCAGGAGCAAGACCAAATCGACATCTTCACCGCCGGCCTCCGCAACCCGCTGCAGACGGATGTCGAGCTCCAACACCCTGATACCCTAGATGCCGCCATGGGCCTTGCGCGGGCCTTCGAGCGCCGCTTGGACCTGGATGATGACATGGACCTTTCCGCGTCCCGCGCCAGCCTGCCAATCCAGTTGCAGCCGCTGTCAACGACGTTCGTGCCCCACACGCCACCCCCAGCCTCCAAGATCGCGTCTCCAACCCCACCAGCCCCAACCGAGGCCGCTTCCCCAGCGGGTGCGCGCTTCAAGCGGCTGACAACGCAGGAGATGGCGCAACGCCGTGTGGATGGCCTCTGCTTCAACTGCCCCGAGAAGTTCACGCAGGACCACAATTGCACGAAGAAGGGCCTCTACCTGATGGAGCTCGACGACGACGCGCCGCTCGACAATGCCGTGGTAGACAAGCCCACCTCCGACGCCAACGTCGCGATCTCCCTCCATGCCCTCACGGGCATCAAGACGGCCGATACCATGCACCTGGCTGCCTCCGTCGTAGGCATGTCCGTTCGGGCTCTTGTGGACTCTGGGTCCACCCACTCCTTCATCGCCGCGGAAACTGCACGCCGCCTTGGCCTCCAGCCCGCACCGCATCCCTGCCTCATCGTGGGCATCGCCAACGAGGAGCACGTCCCGTCCGCCAGGGTCTACGCCGACGTCCCCGTCAGCATCGGCACCGAGGAGTTTCCTCATCGACCTCTTCGTCCTGCCCCTCCCTGACTACGAGCTCGTGTTGGGCTGCCACTAGCTCCAGTCCTTAGGCCCCATCCTCTGGGACCTCGACCGCCAGACCACGACGTTCTGGCACTAGGATCACCGCGTTCGCTGGACCGGCGTCATGACCACCAGGGCCCCTGCTCTCCACGCCATCAAACACCTGGACCTCCTTCATTTGCTCCTAACTGAGTTCGGTGATATCTTCAACACGCCGTCATCGCTGCCTCCGGTTCATGCCTGCGAGCCATTTGAGGTGGTTTATGGCCGACCTCCACCGACCTTGGCTTCATACCAGCTCAACCTCTCCAGGGTGGATGCCTTGGACAAGCAGCTGACAACCAGGGATGAGTTCTTGGCTGCTGTCAGGGAATGGCTCCTTCAAGCTCAGAGCATCATGACGCAAAGCCATGACGCCGCTTGTCGAGATGTCTCCTTCAGTGTGGATGACTGGGTGTGGCTCCTTCTACACCAGCGTGCTGCGACGGCCATCAAGAGCAGCCAGAATGCCAAGCTTGCACTCTGCTACTACGACCCCTTCAAGGTGATCGAGCGCATTGGCTCGGTTGCTTATCGCCTCCAACTTCCAAACAAGGCGCGCATCCACAATGTTTTCCATGTGGTGTTCCTGAAGAAGTACCAGGGCACTGCATCGACGGACATTGTTCAACTGCCCACGGTCATCCACGACCACGCTATACCAGAGCCCGGACACATTGTTCGCGCACGCCTGAACCATGGTGTGTGGGAGGTTCTGGTACACTGGCTCGGCCAGAGTTTCGCTGATTCCACTAGGGAGCTGCTCAATGACTTCAAGGCCACCTACCCCAAGTTCCAGCACGAGGACAAGCTATTTCGAAAGGAGGGTGGAAGTGTTGTGGATGCTTTCATTGGAAAGCACTATACTAGGAAGAAGAAGAAGAAGGTGCCAGCTGCCTCTAGTGGCTAGAATTAGTCCAAGCGAGCTAATAATAGAACATGCAGGAATAATAGGAATACCACAGCCGCTCATGTGGGTGTTATAACCATAGGTGCGGCTGGGGATGAGGATCAAGCAGAAGAAGAGTTGTCACGTTCAGAGCCTCCCAGGGAGGGTGAACTAGCTCTTCTGCTGCTGCCATTGCTAGGATCAGCTACTGTAATTTCCCCTCCAGTTCATCAATCAAGTGCCCAATTCTCGGTTCCTAGCATCTGGTAACAAAGACCTCACAATCCACTCGCCTGCCATGGGTGATGATATCAAGTCCGCTCTGGATGCCATCCTCAACAAACTCTCCTCCGTCGAGAACGACATGACGACGATGAAGGGCGATTAGAGCCGCCTCACCATCGCCATCAACCGGCTGTAGCCAGACCACCTCTCTCCTCCGGCGGCTCCCACAGTGGCAAGGACGCTGCCCACAGTGCCCCTCCACCTCCGACCCACGCGAGCACGGCAAGCACAAACTCCGGTTACCGCGCTACGATGGCACCGCCGATCCGGTCACCTAGCTTCACAAGGCAGAGCAGTTCTTCCACGCCGATCGCACGGCGGACGACGAGCGGGTGTGGCTCGCCTCTTTCTACATGGAAGGCGCTGCCCAGGATTGGTACTACCGCCTGGAGCAGAACCATGGTGCTCCCACATGGCCGGAATTCGTCGACAAGGTGCAACGGGCGTTTGGGACGTCGGCGCGCAGCAATCCGCTCGGCACCCTCATTAAGCTCCGCCGCATCAGGACGGTCGAGGAGTACAAGGCGCAGTTCCTGCCCATGCTCGCACACTGCCGCCCACTCCAGGAGCAAGACCAAATCGACATCTTCACCGCCGGCCTCCGCAACCCGCTGCAGACGGATGTCGAGCTCCAACACCCTGATACCCTAGATGCCGCCATGGGCCTTGCGCGGGCCTTCGAGCGCCGCTTGGACCTGGATGATGACATGGACCTTTCCGCGTCCCGCGCCAGCCTGCCAATCCAGTTGCAGCCGCTGTCAACGATGTTCGTGCCCCACACGCCACCCCCAGCCTCCAAGATCGCGTCTCCAACCCCACCAGCCCCAACCGAGGCCGCTTCCCCAGCGGGTGCGCGCTTCAAGCGGCTGACAACGCAGGAGATGGCGCAACGCCGTGTGGATGGCCTCTGCTTCAACTGCCCCGAGAAGTTCACGCAGGACCACAATTGCACGAAGAAGGGCCTCTACCTGATGGAGCTCGACGACGACGCGCCGCTCGACAATGCCGTGGTAGACAAGCCCACCTCCGACGCCAACGTCGCGATCTCCCTCCATGCCCTCACGGGCATCAAGACGGCCGATACCATGCACCTGGCTGCCTCCGTCGTAGGCATGTCCGTTCGGGCTCTTGTGGACTCTGGGTCCACCCACTCCTTCATCGCCGTGGAAACTGCACGCCGCCTTGGCCTCCAGCCCGCACCGCATCCCTGCCTCATCGTGGGCATCGCCAACGAGGAGCACGTCCCGTCCGCCAGGGTCTACGCCGACGTCCCCGTCAGCATCGGCACCGAGGAGTTTCCTCATCGACCTCTTCGTCCTGCCCCTCCCTGACTACGAGCTCGTGTTGGGCTGCCACTAGCTCCAGTCCTTAGGCCCCATCCTCTGGGACCTCGACCGCCAGACCACGACGTTCTGGCACTAGGATCACCGCGTTCGCTGGACCGGCGTCATGACCACCAGGGCCCCTGCTCTCCA